TATGGCTTAGATTTAGTGTTGTCTTCCAGTTTTCATGCTTTCTTTTATGAGTTTGAACGTTGTGGGGTATACTCTGTATATATTTTTAGGCTATTCTTTATCCCTGAGTGTGGAACGCCTTTCTGTAGTCGATCCATGCTGTCGATAAGTTTTTTCTTTGTTTTCACCTCTTCCAATATTTTTTTTATTGATAATTAGTTGGTCTTAACTTCCTCTTTTACATTGTTTCTGTTCTACTGCAAGTAAATTCTTTTTCTCAAGGAAGTTGTATGTCCTTTCGCTTATGATAGAAGTGAGGATCTAGTAGATTGTTGGTAGGCAGGTGATGGGCCTATAGTTCTTCGGGTTCTGTGTCTCTTCTATTTTAGGAAGTAGGTATGTTACTCCCCACGTGCGGCATTTGGGGCATTTTTCTGGGTTTATGATTATATCATTGTAAGCCAATCCGAGGTCTTGGTAGGTGCTAGATAGATTTTTATCCAAAAATTGCTATCCGGTCTAGTCCTGGTTCTTTCCAGCTTTTGGTTTGATGGCAGATGGCAGCGGTTGTTTCAGTAATATTGATATCCGCCCATTTTTGGCACTCTATATGTGTGTATTGTTCCTGTTGTTGTTTGATCCATGTAACTCTTTCATTGTGCATTTTGCAGTTTTTCCACATCTTACACCAGAACTCTTCGACTTCCTAAATATTAGGTGGGTCATTTATCTATATTTTATTTTTTCTTTATATAGTTTCTTGCTATCTTCTTTGAAGATCTTGTTTTGCCAAAGAATCTGTTTCTTTTTTCATAACGCCTGAATCTCTGTGCCTTCGTTTGAATTTGTTTCCGCTTCTCTTCAATTTTGCTACATCATTCTTATTCTTTATGTCAAGGCTTCGTTTCAGTTTTCTCCTTTTTTCTTTCTTTCATTTTGGAGCCCTTGTTTACTTCCCTTAGAAGTGAGAATTGTCCTCGTATTTCGGTTTCTATTTTTTTCTTTCCTGACTGTCATTTCGTTTACGTTGGATTTTTACTTTTTTACCTATTGTTTCTGTGATCGTTGCCAAGACTGCGTATATAAGATGAATAATTTCTGTCAGGTTCGTTCATATTTCCATTTCGTCCCTTATTTTTCTAACTGGTTAGCAAGCTTGATGGTTTTCTTCACTTGACGGTTCTTTCTTCCTTTTGGAGTTGTTGACCTTTCCTCGAAATATATTTCCTTTACATTTTCCCATTTATATCGGCTGTTTTTGTCATTTCTAATTCTCTCTCATATTCGTTATTATCTTCCTTTATTTGCTTGTGTACCTCAGAGGGATTTTTACAACTGGTTTCTATTTGTTCCTCTACATGTGTCTCCTGTGGGTTGTTGATATTTAATCCCTCGATGTTAACATTTAATCTATTTATGATGTTTTCTCGGATGCTTTCTAGTTGGATTTCAGGTATTCTTTTTTCCTGATGATGTCACGCCTGGCATTGCCTAGTTTGTTGGCATCGATTTTTAGTCTGTTTGAGGGGTGTTTTATCGCCAGATATTATAGACAGCTTTGGTCGTTGTTATCGTTGTCTGATGTATCGTTACGTTGTAAAAGGCTATCATTACTTTAATTTACTCTTCCCTAGACCATTTTATTATTATTATTATTTGATTTCATTTCTGATGCATATTTCTTTCTTTTCGGGTCCCAACCAGAGACCTAAGGTTAGCCATCATGACAATTTCCACTGATTATTTGTTGAGGAAAAAAAATAAGATCACATATATTTTACATACATAAAAAAAAACTTCGTAAAGTATGGGCTTTACTTGTGAGTACAATTCTCTTGTATTCTTTTCAGGCGTAGGCTACCAGGAATCCCTTCAATAATTACAAATATTATTATTGAAGATATGATAAACCGTTCAGTGGGAGAAAGTCATTCTGGCCCGAAAGGAAATATTAAATAAATTATGAAAAAGGTAAACTTTAACCCGATAGTATATATTTGCATAGGCATATTAGCTTTTTTCTTGTATTATATTCGTTTACACACACACACACACACACACATTTCGGTCCATTTTCCTGGATTTCGGTGAAAATATATTCTTAACTTTCATTCCGCCATTTTAGTCCTTTTCTATACGCGGCCAGGTACACACCTTTACTCGAAGTTAACATGACCTCGTATGACATTTATATACCCGTGGAGATATAATTAATTATTAGACGAGCGTCTTGTTGTTTATACTGTGTAGCGTGTTATTCACCATATTTATAATTCATAGCTCTCCACACATTCCAAAATTTGACCAACCATCGGAATCTATTTTTGAATTCCTTCGACTAAACCGGTTCCTCTCGCCAAGATTTTCTGGTAAGCAGAGTGTCTAGACACCGAGCAGGAATAATAAAAAAGCAAAACCTGTCAAAGAGAGGATGAAATTTTTGCAGTGTCAACGGCCATCTAGCACACAGTCCACCGGGAGTGTTGGAATTCTTAGCCTTCGTTAAGTTAGTCAACTAGAAGAGGGAATGTGTGACGTAACACCTGCTGCTTGCTAGCAACAAATGATGTAGACTTGATCTTCTTTTCAGGGTATTTATTGAGATGTTAAGAGAAGGGGGCTGACCCAGGACACTGTCTCTGCGTACATTGAAAAACAATCGTGCACCGACATTGTAAAGGTAAGTTAATAATAACAAACAATGCCATTGATACAAATGGCAATGCTCTGAAAAAGTTTCACATCAATTGATAGATGCTGATATAAATATGAATCATCTAGGACTTGTGGCAAATGATAGTATATATATATATATATATATATATATATATATATATATATATATATATTTAAAACTGAGCAATGTGATCAAATTCGATTTGCAACAGTCTGTTTCATGAATGAAAGCAATCTTCAGCTCAGAAAAACCGCGTTCAAGTATGAAACACACTCTCGCCGCTTGGTGCTGATTTCAATATATATATATATATATATATATATATATATATATGCACACACGCACACACACACACACACACACACACACACACATATATATATATATATATATATATATATATATATATATGAGAGAGAGCGAGAGAGTGATAGAGATATAAGATAAAAAACCAGGTATATAATTGACAATTACAGTGTAATTGTGGAATCTCCAGCTTGCTTAATTATATTACACATTGCGAAAAATTTGCATATATCTCAACCCTTGCCATTTAAATATATTTCCAAATATATTTGTTTTTAACCAGGCTCGAACCCCGACAGTAAATATTATTACACTATTTTTATTGAATAAAAACTGTTGTTCTTTGAACGAAGGAATAACTAGTTTTGTTTCCTGCCCATTTTATCTCGCTCTAGATTACATTTTTTTTCTTTTTTTTTCAATATCTTCTATTCTTATTTATTGGGGTGATATTTTCTTTTCTTCTTTAATTATTTCTTTTAAGTGCCACATATATTTGGAAAGGGAAGTACACTTTTTTTATATTTATATATCACTACTGATCTTGTGCTTATAAAATCGTGGCTTGAAAGTTCTCCCCGTTTACTCACTATAGATTTTAACTTGGATGCCTTCAAACCTAATACTCACCTTATAAACCGTATTTATCTGGTTCTACTTTTTCATTCTTTTTTTCGTTAAAAAAATCTCTTTTTATTATTCATTCTTTTTCCCTCAAGTTTTCCATTAACTTTTTCTTTTCTCTTTATTTTTCTTCGTTTCTCCTTTTTGTACATTTTTTTCTACTTCTTCCATTTAATTCATCCGTACAAGTTTTGGATCTTTCTGTCTTTCTTTCTTTCTTTCTTTCTTTCTTTCTTTCTTTCTTTCTATTCCGTTACATTTCTTTAGAGATCATTCTTTTCTTTTCCTTCCTTCCTTCCTTCCTTTCTTTCTATTTCGCTATATTCCTTTAGAGATCATTCTTTTCTTTTCTTTTCCCTTCTTCCTTCCTTTCTTTCTTTCTTTCTTTCTTTCTTTCTTTTTATTTCGCTACATTTCTTTAGAGATCATTCTTTCTTTCTTTCTTTCTTTTTTTTTTCGAATTCATTCTTTTATTACATATGATTCTATTTTTCTTCTTTCCCTTATCATCACATTTTACTATCTTTCCTTCTCTATTTTACCCGTCATTTTTCCCATTCTGTTTTTCTTTTCTTTTTCCTTCCTCTCCCGTATTTCTCATTTTACTACATTTCTTCATCCGCCCAGTTTCATTCAAATCTTTTGCCTCCTTCTTTTCGTTTTGCTTTTTTTTTTTCTTTCTTTCTATCTTGCTCGGATAACGATGGATAAGACAGTGTACACATAACGGATAGAAGCTTCTAATTAGTGAAGCAAAGAGTTTTCTTTTAATCTTTCACCGACAGCATCCCAAGTCAAGGAGGCTAACGACTGGTGCAGACGTAAAGAAGTCTTCAGAGGTGGGACGTGGCTTTCCTTATGAAAACGCGTATTCTCTTGTGAAACTAAGTGGAAACCTAAACAAAAAGGCTGGATAAAAACAATTTAAACAAACAAACTTTCTCATACATACCTACAGGTATCTATATGCACATATATTTATATAGACATAAATATATATGTAGATAGGCAAACGGAAGATTTTTATTATTTTTTTCATGGTTGGAAAATGAATTTAATATGGCGTCTTTATAAATTCTCTGTTCTTGTACTTTCTGTGTTGATGTTTAGTATAGTATGGTATAAGGTCATCTACAAGAATCAATTGAGAAGATTGTGATGTTCCCTTCCTCCAAAAAGAAGAGGGCCTACCGGAGTTAAAAGCAGCTTTCGCGATCCAGTGTTTAATGTAAGCCCAACTGCGCCAACCACTATTTATGAAGGGAGAGGTGGGGTAAATAGGCAACTATCATGGCTACAGAGAAGAGCAAAACTTATTTCTTTGGACATCTTACTTGGGCACAAGGTTGCAAATCTAGAGAACCCAGTGAAGTCTGAATTTAACACACTAGTAAATTGTGAGTAGAGATTAAGATCATAACTTGTACACACGTGTATAGAATAGCGTGTTTATAGATATAGTCTGTGTATAAATAGATAAATAAATATTGAAAAGAATATAATAGATATTGATGAGAATGTGATAGATAAATATATAGATAGATATTGAAGAGAATGTGATAGATAGATAGATAGATAGATATTGAAGAGAATGTGATAGATAGATAGATAGATAGATAGATAGATAGATAGATAGATATTTAAGAGAATATGACAGACAGACAAACAGACAATCTGACAATGAAAAAGCAAAGAACAAATGTCCGTCGGCCAAATGTCCGTCGGCCAAATGTCCGTCGGCCAAATGTCCGTTCGGCCAAATGTCTCTCAGCCAACTATCAGTTCGGCCAAATGTCCGTCGGCCCAATGTCCGTTCGGCCAAATGTCCGTTCGGCCAAATGTCCCTCAGCAAAATATCCGTTCGACCAAATGTCTGCCGGCCAAATGTCCGTCGGCCAAATGTCCGTTCGGCCAAATGTCCGTTCGGCCAAATGTCCGTTCGGCCAAATGTCCCTCAGCAAAATATCCGTTCGGCCAAATGTCCGTTCGGCCAAATGTCCGTTCGGCCAAATGTCCCTTCGGCCAAATCTCCGTCAGCAAAATGTCCGTTCGGCCAAATGTCTGCCGGCCAAATGTCCGTCGGCCAAATGTCCGTTCGGCCAAATGTCCGTTCGGCCAATTCTCCGTCAGCAAAATGCTCGTTCAGCCAAATGTCTCTCAGCAAAATATCCGTTCGGCCAAATGTCTCTCAGCAAAATGTCCGTTCAGCCAAATATCCGTTCGGCCAAATGTCTCTCGGCCAAATCTCCGTCAGCAAAAAGCCCGTTCGGCCAAATGCCTCTAGGCCAAATGTCCGCTTGGCCAAATGCCTCCCGGCCAATTCTCCGTCAGCAAAATGCTCGTTCGGCCAAATGTCTCTCGGCCAAATGTCCGTTCGGCCAAATGTCTCTCAGCCAACTATCCGTTCGGCCAAATGTCTCTAGGCCAAATGTTCGTCGGCCAAATGTCTCTAGGCCAAATGTCTCTAGGCCAAATGTCTTTTCGGCCAAATGTCTCTCAGCAAATATCCTTTCGGCCAAATGTCTCTAGGCCAAATGTTCGTCGGCCAAATGTCTCTCGGCCAAATGTCTCTCGGCCAAATGTCCGTTCGGCCAAATGTCTCTCAGCAAAATATCCGTTTGGCCAAATGTCTTTTCGACCAAATGTCTGTTCGGCCAAATGTCTCCCGGCCAAATTTCCGTTCGGCCAATTGTCTCTAGGCCAAATCTCCGTCGGCAAAATATCTCTCGACCAAATATCCCTTTGGTCTAATGTCCGTTCGGCCAAATGTCTCTCGGCTAAATATCCTTTCGGCCAAATATCTCTCGGTTAAATATCTGTCCGGCCAAATGTCTCTCGGCTAAATATCCGTTCGGCCAAATATCTCTCGGTTAAATATCTGTCCGGCCAAATGTCTCTCGGCTAAATATCCGTTCGGCCAAATATCTCTCGGTTAAATATCCGTTCGGCCAAATGTCCGTTCGGCCAAATGTTTCTCGGCTAAATATCCATTCGGCCAAATGTCCGTTCGGCCAAATTTCCGTCTGACAAATGTGTCTCGGCCAAATGTCCATTCGGCCAAATGTCTTTTCGGCCAAATGTCTCTCGGCCAAATCTCCGTCGGCCAAATGTCTGTCGGCCAAATATCCGTCGACCAAATGTCCGGCCATGACTCAATTTGGCAATACCACACAGAATATTAAGTAGGGAAAGTGAGGCGATTTTGAGAGAATTCGAATTCTTACCAGGATTCATTATTGGCGGCCAAAATCTTAGCAACATAAAAGATGTAGATTACACAGTGTTGATAGCAGAAACTCCTACAGAAGATAATGAAGGAAAACAAGAAGAAAGTACGAAACATCAACTGCAAGTAGATAGAATGCATAAGGAACAGTACAACATGCAAAATGGAGATACAAAAATTAAGCAAATAGAAGACTTTAAATATCTGGGAAGTTTCTTTAGAAACAAAGAAACAAGTATTTAACTCTTATGTAATATCGGTCCTCATATATAGCAGTGAACACTGTCTTGCCCCAAAGGAAATGCAATTCCACAGAAGATTGCTGAGAATACCATATGAGTAATGACGAAGTTTTGAAGAAAATGGAAACATAACCTTATGGTTCACATCATAAAAAACAGTTTAAATTTTTAGGGTACATAATGTGGAACGAGTGCTTGTAAAATCTGATAGACATATTGAAGGCAAGAGAGGCCGAAAACAATGAATAACTCCTGCCTAACAAGATTTTTGTAAATGGTTGGCAGAATAGAGATTAGGAGAGATAGCAATAAGAGAAATTTTACTAAGAGCCGCAAACGTCAGGAAATAGTGGAGAGCCATGATCGCCAACGTTCTGAAGGGACTTAGAAAAAGAAGATGGCGTTTCAAGAGTTCTGAAAATGATAGCTGCCACTTGGTATTCAATAATTTTTTTTTAGATTTCCTTTGCAAATTCCAGATATTTTTATTTCACTTTTTTCACTTTTTAGATTTTAAATGGTGACGTCGACATTTGTGCAGACATTTTTGATTTGCTTGATGCTGACGACATTTGGTCTCAAGGACTGGATATGATATTCATTTTTTTTTTTTTCGTTTCTGTTATTATCATTGCGATAAGAAAACAGCGGTTTACACTTGATTTCATTTGTGCTGGCATCTATTCTTCGTCTTGATATGCGTTTTTGAATGAACACCTGCGTAAATAATTGATTGAGATTAAAAATAAATAAACAGATAAATGAATAACTAAAAATACATAAATAAATTTAAACATATATTAGCAGGATGTGATGGAGAAATTGTCGTCTAAATTACGCAAAAATGAAAATAACACTGACATCTCATTTTAACAGATATATTTGACAAAATTACAAAGTTAAGGTTTAATATTGAAGTTAAACTTTAACACTTGTGGACCAGTTTCGAAACATAGTAATTCCTGTGTCGTGATGGAATCGTATTTTCAAAAAAATGCTCTGTTTACAATAAACAGTATTAACAACATTTACCGGCCTGAATGACCGAGAAATTTTTACAAAAAATATTCGAACCGGTATCCTATACGGAAACGTCATTTAGCTTGACGTGCCTTTAACCGATTTGGCCACAGAGGAGCGTTCGGTTAGCAAGGTCGAATTTACTGCCTTTAAACTTCAATCTTCCATGAATCTCTCACGTACATTCATATCTGCTCAAAGTGCATCCAAATGTAAACAAATGACGCCACACATTATGAAATGGACAAAGTCCGACAATTATTTTAAGACAAACCGAAAGCTCCTCTGTAGCCAAATCGGTTAAAGACACGTCAAGCTAAATGATGGTTCCGTATAGGATACAGATTCGATTCCTGTCGGAGGACGCATATTCTTTATGACAATTTCTCGGACATTCAGGCCGGTAAATGTTGTTAATACTGTTTATTATAGACAGCGCATTTACTTAAATATTTGTATCTATAAAAAGAATGTATAAACATAAAATGTCTTATATATATATATATATATATATATATATATATATATATATGTGTGTGTGTGTGTGTGTGTGTGTGTGTGTGTGTGTGTTTGAAAATATGTAGGAAAATAGGAAAGAACACGTTAGGTAAATAATCCGGGGTTCTTTAATATTTTGTTTTATTTTAAAACGTGCTCCATACAGAAGTAGAGTTTAAATTATAATTATTAAAAAAAAAATATGATTGTTTCGCTACATAAGAGTTCTCATGTTTCAAAAGCAAGAGTCAAAATATACATATAATTTTATCCACATGATGATTGTTGTTCCATGGAAGTCTGAGTCTAGAGTTATATTGGATGTTAGGTAATTGAATGACAAAATGGAAAACCCATTTGATTTTCTAGAAGAACTTCATAGGACTAAAGTATTTTCTTATCAATGGAATTATATATATATATATATATATATATATATATATATATATATGTGTGTGTGTGTGTGTGTGTGTGTGTGTGTGTGTGTCTAGGGAAGGTGGATGTGATAAACGGAAACATCTCTTATAATTATGCACCGAAAGAAAACCCTGAAGACAGAAGAACGATAAATTTTTCATTTCTGGCGTTCAACGGGTCTAGACGAACCACTCAACAGATTTCATTCCCTTTCCTTGTTTTTTTTTTTTGTTTTCTCACTGTTGTTTTTAAATACTCCATATTAAGATAACAGAAGATTTCTGAAGAAAGGTAAACTGTAGTAAGAACTTGGACATGAATTTGCCGTGGAAGATTTTGAAAAACTGCACTTTTTCTATATTTTCTGTTTATTTATTTTTCTTTACTGTTCAAATTAAATTATGTATGTTTTTGCGTGTGTATGTGCGTGACAGAGAGAGAGGAAGAGGGGGAGATGGAAATAGAGAGAGGGAAAGAGGGAGGGGGAGATTGAAATAGAGAGAGGGAGAGGGGGAGATGGAAATAGAGATAGAGATAGAGAGAGGGAGAGAGGAAGATGGGGAGATGGAAATAGAGATAGAGATAGAGAGAGGGAGAGAGGAAGAGGGGGAGATGGAAATAGAGATCGAGATAGAGAGAGGGAGAGAGGAAGAGGGGGAGATGGAAATAGAGATAGAGATAGAGAGAGGGAGAGAGGAAGAGGGGGAGATAGAGATAGAGATAGAGAGAAACCTAAACTAGTGTGGTGTTGGGTCATGAAAACATTTTATTAAACAAGAAAACTAGACGAAATCTACAAAATGTTACAAAACCAAAATATTAACGTTTGAATTCAAATCATGTTCTTAAACAGCCTTGTTTGATCTCAGTTCTCATAAGGATGTCATGCTTGGCACAAAACCCGTTCAGAAATGCTACCGTTTTTTCAGATCTATCAAATTAATATTTTATGTCTTAAAGGAGACAACCCTCTCTATAGGCTGGCGTTATCAGACAAAGAGCTTTATTGAATAGCAAAAAGCACATCATTTGAAAAATCCCAATAACGCCAAAAAGTAAAATTGAAAGTAACACATTTGCATTTTCCACACGACTAAAAACAAAAGAGCTGCAAGGAAACTGCCATCAGTATTAGAAATCTCAGCAACACTTAGTGGACTTAGAAGTCTAATTCTCTTAAAAAGTTTTCCTTCGTGGACGTATAAAAGTATCGCATATCCCGTTTGCCCAAATATTGTTGGATTTCTGCTGCCCTTGCCTGCCACCAGGTGTTCTGGAGGCGCACAGAATTTTCGTTGCCTCCTGATATATCATTTTTCTTTTCAACAGATGCGATGTTCTCGAAAGCCAGGCGTGTTTCTAGTCTTTGATTAATCAGCTGGTTAGTTTTAACTCCTTTAAAAGCTGTTGTAATTAAAGTGATTTTATAAATTTCAACCTATAGTAACGCTAAATAGTTGGTCAGTAAATTTTGAATATTTCTTGCAAGGAAAAGTTTAATCTCACCACTACGATAATTAGAATTGAAATTCTGGTACGCCTACAAGTTGGTAATCTGTAAAATCTCTGATGTTGCTGAGTGAAATCTATAGCTTCCTGGCTATATTTACTTGAGATTCACTTGGCGTAAAGTAATGTGATTTCAAGACATCCACATCGAAATAAGATCGAAAATCGTAGGAAAAAAACAGATATTTGACTTTGAAGCGGAGACATTCAGGTGTGTTGGCTGGTCGCATTGCACAGGTGATCATCCCGTTTTTGTGACACGTGATACAACGACGATTCCGTGACGTTTTTATTTGCCTTTATTTTGTTGTTAGGAAATCAAGCGAATAAAAGTAAGATAAGGCGGGAAAGGAAAGACATTTTTTTCGCTTTTCGTGTAATCTTTTTAAGTTTGTTTGTTTGTTTTACTTATCTGATAAATACCAACTTCATATATACCACTTTTATATTACCGATCAAAAAGCTAATCTGACAACACTTGAGCTAACACTAGTATATATATATATATATATATATATACATATGAGATCTTTTGATATATATTTATATATGAGATCATTCACATATATATATGAGATCTTTCGCATATATATATATATTTCATATATATATATATATATATATATATATATATATATATATATGAGATATTTCATATATATATATTTCATATACATATATATATGAAATCTTTCATATATATATGAGATCTTTAATATATATATGTATATATATATAAGAACTTTCATATATATGTATATATATGAGATCTTTCATATATATATTTATATATGAGATCTTTCATATATATATATATATATATATATATATATATATATATATATATATATATATATATATATATATATATATATATATATGTGTGTGTGTGTGTGTTTTTTGTGTGTGTGTGTGTGTGTGATATTTGAAATTTCATATGTAATATGTGATAGCCCAAAATATGTATGCATTTTTATGGTTGTTGAAGGAATAATAACTGACAAGAAATCTGCCTTTTGGCTCAGCTGGGTGTTCATTCCTAGGCTATGTCAGCAAAATTTTTATGCTTTTAATCTCACAATTAAAAAAGCCGGTAGAGTTTTCTTTGCCGTTTGAATTTGGGGGATGAAGAGTCATCATTATTTATATTAATTTAGATGCGAACTCTTGTCTTCATCTTTTTTGTCATCCTAACGTTTCGTTCGTTTGGTCCTCCGGACTTCATGTAAATCGAGTTTTGTTTCTTGTAATATACACGATGTCCATAAATTATCTGTACAATATTTTAAATTCTTAAAAATGAAAAAAATCCGGATAACTGTTCATGATTTATTAGAAAATATCAATAAACAGAGCATTATATATACATATCAACACACTTCAGCATTATCTCCATTGATTGCACGAAACACATCGACATGCGATGTTCAGTTTTAATTTTCTGCACGATACTTTTTGTTTTCGTAGTCCATGGTTTGACGATAAAGTACATCCGGCAGCCAAACCTCTTATTAGGAGACTGGAGGTTATAAGGAGCGTGAAACGACCTCTTAATAGATCTTGTTCCGAGCTAATAAGTCAGTTAACCCTTGATCTGGGGTCGTAGTACTTATAAGTGTCCCATCTATGGGCAATTAGTACCCCCCCAAAAAAAAAACATGATGAAAATATAAAAATATATTTTATAAAAAAATACCAGCAATATAGTTTTATATAAATTACCAACAATATGTACATACTAACAAATTGTAGCGACACAAATCCGTTTAAAATACTAACAAACAACCAACATAAAAAAACTTTCATGACTTTAATCAATATAATAACCGACAATTTCTTAAATCAAACTGTTTCCAAAACTTACAACCAACTATGTATATATCGCCGTCATCGTAGGCATCCGTCCGTCTCAGGAGACGATGGAGTAGCGCTTATTATTTTTTTTTTTAAATTCTAGGCGATGGAGTTACATCGCCTCTGGTGACTGTGTAGTCCAACTCTGGAGCGGCAGTCTCTCAGGCACATGGGTCAGATGAAACAGGATGACACGGAGACTGAGGCTGTCCTTGTTTTTCTCCTGGCTCTCTTTGCTGCTTGCTGATCTTCCCTCGCAGCTTCTGCAATCGTGACGCCGTCACTGACTGTGGCTCTCCAAAGCTGACAATCGTCAACCGCGGCCTCCCAGGTGTTGGGGTCGATGTCGGCCAGCTTTATGTCTCGTTTGCAGACATCCTTGAAGCGGAGCTGAGGTCTACCATTTGGGCGGGACCTCCTAGACAGCTCTCCGTACAGGATGACTCTTGGGATGCGGCCGGCACCCATGCGGCGTACGTGTCCCAGCCATCTGAGACATCTTTGGCAGAGCAGCGTGAACAGGCTGGGGATGCCAGCACGTTAGAGGACCACTGTGTTAGTGACCCAGTCTTGTCACTTAATGTGTAGGAGACGTCTGAGGCAGCGGAGGTGAAAGGTGTTTAACCTCTTCTCCTGAGTGGCTTAAGTTGTCCAGGACTCGCTGCCGTGCAGAAGGGTGCTGAGGACGCAGGCCCAGTAGACTTGTAGCGTGGTGTTCTCCGTCAGCTGTCTGTTGTTCCAGACGCGCTTGTTAACTTGGCCATGACTGCGGCGGTTTTCCGTATCTTGGAGGTGATCTCGGTGTCCAGGGAGAGGGAGCTGAAATGATCGATGGTGTATATATATATATATATATATATATATATATATATATATATATATATATATATATGTGTGTGTGTGTGTGTGTGTGTGTGTGCAGAGAAATGTCAATGAAATCAAGTTTGGATAACTTCCAGGTAAGTTGAGTTCCACCAGAAACAAATTCACGCCATCGGGACTTTTTTCTCGTCTGATTTTGTTTCACTTCCAACCAACTCTTGCAACGCTTTCACCAGCAAAAGCGTCGTTCAATTTTGAACATCAAATCCAATTACTGCGTGACCAACACCAAATTCCTGGAAAGAAATCTACCGCCAAATCATCGAATCACTGATCATTAAACACCGCCTCCGATCGTAAAGACATGTAACATGAATGGAAGAGTCAAGGTTACCACGTCTTCAAATGTTATTTCATCAAATTGTGTGAGTAAACACGATATTTTTTTGTTATTATTTTATTTCCAAAAGCAAAATACATGACAACAAAAATACGAAAAAATGAAAAGAAAACAGTTAAATCCATGAAGTCATGTTATTCAAAATATGATACATAAATCAATCCCAATTCAAAATAATTTGAATACTCATTTGCACATATCTATATATAAATATATACAGTGTTGTACAAAAGTGAATCTCTAAGATAATATTTAAAATAATTGTTTCTTTTTCCAGATAATCAACAAATCTTAAACTATATATTCATTAAGAAAAACTTTCAAAAATTTTTTACCAAGCTAGAATAAAAATATTAGTTAAAAATTAAGAGTAAGTTAAGTAAACACTTACATTTACACTCTGTATTTTTGTTTTACATGGATACCAGTGCAAATAATTTTTGTGTACATGTAAAAATAAAAAATGACAGTTACGTGTACTGGACATTTGTGCCCCTTTTAAGAAATTTATCTTGTTTTCAGGAGTAGACTTATGAAATAGCGCCATGATTCTCTTATTTCCATTTCTATTTTTCTGCCGTACGAGAATACCTCTTTGAAAGTCACTTTTTCTTTAAGGCAATGGCCCTCTCCCTTTTCAATGTTTCAATTAATTTCCAGGTAGAGGGATTTTGACAAAATAAAGCATATTGCAAAGCATTGTGCAATCGCTCTAAACTAAAGGGTGTTTCATTAAGACGGATCAAAGTCAGCAGTAAATAAATCAGTGTTAGTGGTGAAAATTGGTCGCTTTTTCTAGGCCTTCTGTCATGAAGACCGGCATTGTTTAGATGTCGTCGCACTGTAGACGTACGCACGTTGATTCCAACATTGGCGAGTATTGTAGAACCACAAAAGTCACAGAAGGATTTATCTGGGTTTCTTGAACTAGATGTCTACTTACTCTTTTTGTTATATTTCACAGACGGTTACTTCTTGATTGTCATGCTGTCATACCAAAGGCCTTCCATTTAGAAATAATTTATTGGAGAAGTGCACACCAAATCGTTTTGATAGCTTTTTGTCGGCTTCTCCATCATTATAGGTTTCAATTATTCGATTTTTAAAACTTCAAAAAGTTCTTTTGATCTTTGCATATACATTATTTTAATTTAGTCTCTAAATGCACACTTTTGCATACACAATGAATTATATTGTTTGACGGCAGGATACACTGCGGTGGACGGACAGTTCGGTTTCGGACAGTTGCGTACCGGACAGTTGCGTCTCGGATATTTGCGTACTGGACAGTTGCGTACCGGACAGTTGCGTACCGGACAGTTGCGTCCTTAGACATTTGCGTCACTAGACAAATGCGTCCTCAAATAATTGCGTACCTCTGATATTTTTTCGAAGACATACATTCTTTTCTTAAGAGTTTGCTAATTACAAGCATGATCGCCTCAACTATGTCAAAGCTCATATTAATTAATAAATTAGAAACATTCTGGAAAAATGTTTTATGATCGGATGAGACCAAACTCGAGATTTTCGGGATGAACAATAGGGGATATAGCTGGTGATCTCCTAATACGGCTTTTGAATAGAAGAAATTGATACCAACCATTAATCATGGCGGTGACAGCATTATGATTTGCTACAGCTGGAACAGGCAAAACAGTATACATTGCCTGCACAATCGACTCTGCAATATGCCAAGTAATTTTGAATGAAAGTATCTTGACCTCAGTTCAAAATTTGGGATTAGGTCAGGGCCAAATTTTCCAACAGGACAATGATCAGAAGCATCAAAACAAATGCCCAAAAGAATGGCATCGTAAAAAAAATTCAAGTCTTGGAACGGCCTAGTCAAAGTCCTAATCTAAACGCAATTGAAAATCTGTGATTCATGTGAAAGAAGCAAGTGCGTACAAGAAACCCAGGTAATATCGAGAATTTGTGGGAGTTTTGCCAATCACCAAAGTTAAACAACGTCAGTACCGAAGTGAGTGACCGATCTGGAATATCAGGTGCGGTGTGGATGTGCGGGTGATGTAATGGATAATGGCTCAGAATTGTTAATCACGGAGCCGAGTTCAAATTCCTGTCGGGTTCGTTATATTCACTTACACGCAAATTCTCTTGGGAAAGGTATGAAACCACCTATTTTCCCCCAGTTATGGGTTAATTAGTAAGACTTTTATCACTAAATCATTATTATCCCCTCAAAAAAAAATTTACAGTTTAAAATATTTTCTGGTTTTTAAATAAAGTGTTGATATGTTGTAAAACAAACAAATAAATTAATCAGTTTCTTTTTATTTGATCCTGATCCTATATATTCTATTTCTCACTGTCTCTCTTTCTCTCTCTGCACAAACGCACACACACGCACATGCACACACACACACACACACATACATATGGGCACGTCTAGAAATATTTAAACTAACTTTTTATGATCATGCATAAGTATTATTGGCTTGAGATGGGAGCTTTTCTTTTAATGAAGGAAATATTTGAAAATAAATCTAGGGTGTAAATTCATGTTCAGGCAAGAATCAGTAAACACACTTTCAAGAACATTTTATCTAAGTAAGTTATTCTCACTTTTAATAAGTACAGCATATTTTGTTTGAAATTACTTCTATCTTACGTCTATTTAGTATTTGTCCTTATCTATCTATCTATCTATCTCTGTGTCAAGAAACTTACATACAGGGAAATATATAAATAAACAAAAAACTCTTGACACCTCGGGGCACAAGACTAACATCTGAGAGAAGTAAATTGCGAGAGAGCTTGATATAGAGAATGGTGTAGAGAAAAGAGACTGCGAGATAAATATATATATATATATATATATATATATATATATATATATATATATATATATATATATATATATATATAAAAATAAGTAGAGAGCGAGTATGCAAGAGAGAGAGAGAGAGGTTTGTCACCTTGTCAATAATCTGTAAGGAAAAAAAAAAACTCCAGTCCTTTCAGCCATTTTGTCAAGACTGACGAAAAAATAAAATAAAACCAATATAAACAAATAAAAACTGTATAAACAAACATAAACCCATAATGAAAATAACGCTTAACCTAAGCAATAACAAAAAAACAAAGCTGTTTCTCTTGCAGGTTCGGCTTAATGGTTAACTCGGCAAATGAGTACTAGTGAGATTAACAACTCCTTCCAGGGTGCAAATGGGTGGGGGCGTCAAGTATTATCAAAAGATATAGTTTACGAACAGAGTTAAATTTTCATCGGCGTTGTATATGTTAAAATGTTTCTCAGAGCCCCTTGGAGTTTCAAAAATGGATCCATTGATGAAATAAATTGTGACAAGGATGTGGAGAAAGCAAACTTCATTTTAAACCCTTAATTTGTCGAGCAATCAGTATTTTAATTCGTTCAGCGAAGTGATTAGAATCAAAATGTTGTTCTTTGTTCTTCAATGAAAGACTCGCTCATCTTTGGGTCGGAATTTTCGAATGTTTGTGCACATTTCTTTCTTACTAAAGTTCACCTAATACAAGAATTAGACCAATGTAAGACTCAAGAGCCACTCAAGGTAGAACGAAGTGCCTGATATGAATGAAAAAGGAGGTAGAAAAAAGTGGAGATTTTGAGTTGTAAAGTTGTAAAGGATTTTTATTGATTAATCCGATAGATTTTATGACATTAAACGTTAATTTAGTGTCCGAGAAGACGTTCCATTTATTTATTGATAAATAAACACATCTATTCAAATGTGGATGTCCATTAAAAGTAACGTTTAATGTCATTATATATATATATATATATATATATTGTGTTAAATACAATTTATTTTCACAATACTTATCGGAAGTCGACTCAGAACGGCATATACCGAAGTTCTTGACAAAATTCCTTCCTGATCTGTCATCTTGTCTTCAGTCACTTTCTCTCACGTGGCTTCCCTCTGTCTTTTCTATGTTTTCATGTCACCTCTTCTGTTGAGCCTTTTTTCTACTTAGTGCCTCGACTGAATGAATTTAATCGTGTTACTAGATTTACAACTAGGTGTCATCGTTTTAATGTTGAACTGTTTAGATGCAACCGTTTGTTCTGTTCCATAATTTCCTTGCAAATTCCTTCCGAATTCTTGCTTCCCCATACACCTACAATATAAAAAAATTAAATGCAACATCGATCGCAATCGTCTGTCTTCCTGATTCATGTTCCTTTATTGTCCATTCCTTACTTCCCCTCACGAAAGTCTTCTGATTCTCTTCTAGTCCCAGTAGCACTTCTGTTTTTTAGTGCCAGTATTGCCTTGCTTGAGGTAAAATTATTAAAACAAGTTATATATATATATATATATATATATATATATATATAGAGAGAGAGAGAAAGAGAGAGAGAGAGAGATGTATATATGTATGTATTTGTGTGTGCGTGTATATTTCTGTGGGTATTTGTACGAACGCACATAAATATTTATCACTGGTCTAAACAAAACAAATGTTAAAAATTTACATTTGTCTACTTAAATATATAAATACATATTTTGATCTTTTGTAAAAGTTATATACTTTACTTCGAACAACGATCAAACTAGTATATCTATCTATCTATCCTGCGCCTGACGATTGCGTCTAGCATGAAACAGCCTGTCGCCTCTGAGAGTTGACTTCTATGTTCACTTTTATATCTATATTTACATACGCTCTATCTATGATATTGGGCACTTTCTTCCATAAATAGAGCACACCTTAAAACTATATATATATATATATATATATATATATATATATATATGCAGGATGGCAATAAAGTCACTATACATTTATATACAATAACAATTAAGAGAAATCGATAAATCAACAGTGCAGAAATTTAAGGTTTCTGGTTAATTCTAGTTAGTAACAATAAAATGTTATAGTAAACAATAGTAAATTAATTACTGATACTGTTCGAACTGCAAGCCACCTGCTTCAATGTTTTGCTTTTTTATTATAAGTAACTGTATTGTGACTCTATTGTCACCCTGTATATAGAATTAATGAAAAAGGTTTTTCTCTTAACTCATGTTTACTTCAAAGTTTCGGGGTTACGTAGATGTAACCACTCCTCAAAACAGGGTCAAATTGTCTGATTCTGTCCTGAGGAGTTGGTTGCATCTATGTAAACACGAAACTTTGAAGTAAATATGAGTTCAGTAAAAAACTTTTTAGTTAATTCTATTAAAGCTCTATCCATATCGTCGATATTGACCACTCGACCACAAAGCCTGCTTGCCTTAATTCCCTTTATCAGCAAACTACTGAAAAACCAGAAAATTTGGCTTCAAAAACAGTCTTCAACATTAGCAATATATATATATATATATATATATATATATATATATATATATATATATATCACCACCAACTCAACGTCACACACTCAACACCGCCGACTCAACGCCTCTCACTCAACACCGCCGACTCAACGACATGCAAAATATTTTTTTTCCTATGAATCCTTGTATTGCATCAAGATCCTTAGTGCTAAATTTCAAGAAAACCTTTGTATTTTAATTTTTCCTTTATGGGGCTGGGTGTTAAGATATTATAAACTTAAATCGTTTTAATTTATGAAATTTATAACGTGTCAATTGTGGCAATTACGAGCCGATATAAAATCGTATACGTTATTATGTATATTCATTTTACTTACTATATATATATGTGTGTGTGTGTGTTTCTCTAGATAAAGTCTATCAGAGGACAATTAGCCAGAATCAGGTCGAGATTGTTATCCAGAATGTAACTACCAGTAAAGTAAACATGAATTCATATATATGAATATATATGGATATATTCCCATAAGTTGGGACTGAATTTCTTTTTTTCTCCTTCGTTGGAATCATTTCCAAAACTATGAATGCAAACTGAGAGTATGCAATAAACTAGTTCACATTCAACGTATAACTTGCAAGGAACTGTCTTTCTCAAATCCCAGTCTACCAAATGTACCAACCGAAGATTTACCCCTCGCACAGAGTATACCCGGTTTATTGTAGGATAGGCTATTTTATACTCGGGGTATATGTTAGGCTAGATCAATTTATACATTCCGAGTATAGGATGAGCTAAGCTAGAATATGCCCCAACATATCCAGAATTTACCCTATTGTTTACCCATGTAATAATATATATATTATTATATCCGCAGATGATAATCGGGGATCTATGGATCATGCTTTGTCTCTCGTTCATACAGATTTGCTGTGGACAATCTACAGCCCTCGATGCTATTATTGTATACATTCTGTAGCCCTCAATATTATTATTGTGTGTACTCCATAGCCCTCAATGTTATTATTGTGTGTACTCCATAAC